GCTGTTTGTCGCTGAGTAGCCGACCCCACCAATTCCCCAGTGTATGCCTCGTGGTCTAGGTCAACCAGCGCCGCCATACATCACGGAGCGGGGGTCAACTACTAAGCCACGCCTACCCCCCGCTATTTAAGACCTGACCTCGTGGTGACCTGTCTCTTTCTACCTCCACCAACCAGCCAGCAACACCTCCTCCTCCTCCTCCGCCTGCCTGGCGGTCCTCGCTCCCGCCGGCGAGCATGGCGGCCCACAAGCTGTCCTTCCCTGAGCATCCTCACCAACCAGCTCTCTCTACATCACGCTTGTAACCATGCTGCCTTCCCAGCATCAAGCTGCAGTGTACATCCAATACAACATGTATACAGAGAGCACATTGTGAGTTTCCTTTCTCCAACTCATCCTGAGTGTGAACCAAATATCCTGAACCCCACACTACTTCCCCGAAAAGTCGATAATCTACTTTCCCGAGAAGTAGATAATCTACTTTTCAGGAAAGTAGATAACCAACTTTCCCGGAAAGTAGATATTTCCCATTTTCTATGATACAAATTTCCCTTTTTCTATGATAACCTGCTTCCCAAAATTAGGTAATATTTCCCCAAAACTCGGTAATATACATCCCCAAAAAGTCGATAATCTACTTTCCCGAAAAGTAGATAATCTACTTTTCAGGAAGTAGATAACCTACTTTCCCAGAAAGTAGATATTTCCCATTTTCTGTGACTCAAATTTCCCCATTTTCTATGATAATCTTCGGAAAATTAGGTAATATTTCTCAAAAAGTCGATAATCTACTTCCCCAAAAAGTCGATAATCTACTTTCCCGGAAAGTAGATAATCTACTTTTCGGGAAAGTAGATAACCAACTTTCCCGGAAAGTAGATATTTCCCATTTTCTATGATATAAATTTCCCGTTTTTTATGATAAGTAGATAACCAACCTTCCCAGAAAGTAGATATTTCTCATTTTCTGTGATACAAATTTCCCGTTTTCTATGATAATCTACTTCGGAAAATTAGGTAATATTTCCCCAAAAGTCGATAATCTACTTCCCCGAAAAGTTGATAATCTAATTTCCCGGAAAGTAGATATAATCTACTTTTTGGGAAAGTAGATAACCAACTTTCCCAGAAAGTAGATATTTCCCATTTTCTGTGATACAAAATTTCCCGTTTTCTATAATAATCTACTTCAGAAAATTAGGTAATATTTCCCCAAAATTCGATAATCTACTTCCCAGAAAAGTCGATAATCTAATTTCCCGAAAAGTACATAGCCTAATCTACTTTTCGGGAAAGTAGATAACCAACTTTCCTGGAAAGTAGATATTTCCCATTTTCTATGATATAAATTTCCCGTTTTCTATGATAATCTACTACGCAAAATTAGGTAATATTTCCCCAAAACTCGGTAATATACTTCCCCAAAAAGTCGATAATCTACTTTCCCGAAAAGTAGATAATCTACTTTTCAGGAAGTAGATAACCTACTTTCCCAGAAAGTAGATATTTCCCATTTTCTGTGACACAAATTTCCCCATTTTCTATGATAATCTTCGGAAAATTAGGTAATATTTCTCAAAAAGTCGATAATCTACTTCCCCAAAAAGTCGATAATCTACTTTCCCGGAAAGTAGATAATCTACTTTTCGGGAAAGTAGATAACCAACTTTCCCGGAAAGTAGATATTTCCCATTTTCTATGATATAAATTTCCCGTTTTCTATGATAAGTAGATAACCAACCTTCCCATTAAGTAGATATTTCTCATTTTCTGTGATACAAATTTCCCGTTTTCTATAATAATCTACTTCAGAAAATTAGGTAATATTTCCCCAAAATTCGATAATCTACTTCCCCGAAAAGTCGATAATCTAATTTCCCGAAAAGTAGATAGCCTAATCTACTTTTCAGGAAAGTAGATAACCAACTTTCCCGGAAAGTAGATATTTCCCATTTTCTATGATATAAATTTCCCGTTTTTTATGATAAGTAGATAACCAACCTTCCCAGAAAGTAGATATTTCTCATTTTCTGTGATACAAATTTCCCGTTTTCTATGATAATCTACTTCGGAAAATTAGGTAATATTTCCCCAAAAGTCGATAATCTACTTCCCCGAAAAGTTGATAATCTAATTTCCCGGAAAGTAGATATAATCTACTTTTTGGGAAAGTAGATAACCAACTTTCCCAGAAAGTAGATATTTCCCATTTTCTGTGATACAAAATTTCCCGTTTTCTATAATAATCTACTTCAGAAAATTAGGTAATATTTCCCCAAAATTCGATAATCTACTTCCCCGAAAAGTCGATAATCTAATTTCCCGAAAAGTACATAGCCTAATCTACTTTTCAGGAAAGTAGATAACCAACTTTCCTGGAAAGTAGATATTTCCCATTTTCTATGATACAAGTTTCCCGTTTTCTATGATAATCTATTTCCCCAAATTAGGTAATATTTCCCAAAAAGTCGATAATCTACTTCCCCAAAAAGTCGATAATCTACTTTCTCGAAAAGTAGATAATCTACTTTTCGGGAAAGTAGATAACCAACTTTCCTGGAAAGTAGATATTTCCCATTTTCTATGATATAAATTTCCCGTTTTCTATGATAATCTACTACGCAAAATTAGGTAATATTTCCCCAAAACTCGGTAATATACTTCCCCAAAAAGTCGATAATCTACTTTCTCGAAAAGTAGATAATCTACTTTTCGGGAAAGTAGATAACCAACTTTCCTGTTAAGTAGATATTTCCCATTTTCTATGACACAAAGTTCCCTTTTTCTATGATAACCTGCTTCCCAAAATTAGGTAATATTTCCCCAAAACTCGGTAATATACATCCCCAAAAAGTCGATAATCTACTTTCCCGAAAAGTAGATAATCTACTTTTCAGGAAGTAGATAACCTACTTTCCCAGAAAGTAGATATTTCCCATTTTCTGTGACACAAATTTCCCCATTTTCTATGATAATCTTCGGAAAATTAGGTAATATTTCTCAAAAAGTCGATAATCTACTTCCCCAAAAAGTCGATAATCTACTTTCCCGGAAAGTAGATAATCTACTTTTCGGGAAAGTAGATAACCAACTTTCCCGGAAAGTAGATATTTCCCATTTTCTATGATATAAGTTTCCCGTTTTCTATGATAAGTAGATAACCAACCTTCCCATTAAGTAGATATTTCTCATTTTCTGTGATACAAATTTCCCGTTTTCTATAATAATCTACTTCAGAAAATTAGGTAATATTTCCCCAAAATTCGATAATCTACTTCCCCGAAAAGTCGATAATCTAATTTCCCGAAAAGTAGATAGCCTAATCTACTTTTCAGGAAAGTAGATAACCAACTTTCCTGGAAAGTAGATATTTCCCATTTTCTATGATACAAGTTTCCCGTTTTCTATGATAATCTATTTCCCCAAATTAGGTAATATTTCCCAAAAAGTCGATAATCTACTTCCCCAAAAAGTCGATAATCTACTTTCTCGAAAAGTAGATAATCTACTTTTCGGGAAAGTAGATAACCAACTTTCCTGGAAAGTAGATATTTCCCATTTTCTATGATATAAATTTCCCGTTTTCTATGATAATCTACTACGCAAAATTAGGTAATATTTCCCCAAAACTCGGTAATATACTTCCCCAAAAAGTCGATAATCTACTTTCTCGAAAAGTAGATAATCTACTTTTCGGGAAAGTAGATAACCAACTTTCCTGTTAAGTAGATATTTCCCATTTTCTATGAAATAAATTTCCCGTTTTTTATGATAAGTAGATACCCAACTTTCCCAGAAAGTAGATATTTCCCATTTTCTGTGATACAAAATTTCCCGTTTTCTATAATAATCTACTTCAGAAAATTAGATATTTCCCCAAAACTCGATAATCTACTTCCCCGCAAAGTCGATAATCTACTTTCTCGAAAAAGTAGATTATCTACTTTTCGGGAAAGTAGATAACCAACTTTCCTGGAAAGTAGATATTTCCCATTTTCTATTATATAAATTTCCCGTTTTCTATGATAATCTACTATGCAAAATTAGGTAATATTTCCCCAAAACTCGGTAATATACTTCCCCAAAAAGTCGATACAGTATTTTACTTTTCTGGAAAGTAGATAATCTACTTTTCGGGAAAGTAGATAACCAACTTTCCCGGAAAGTAGATATTTCCCATTTTCTATGATATAAATTTCCCGTTTTTTATGATAAGTAGATAACCAACTTTCCCATAAAGTAGATATTTCTCATTTTCTGTGATACAAATTTCCCGTTTTCTATGATAATCTACTATGCAAAATTAGGTAATATTTCCCCAAAACTCGGTAATATACTTCCCCAAAAAGTCGATAATCTACTTTCCCGAAAAGTAGATAATCTACTTTTCAGGAAAGTAGATAACCAACTTTTCTGGAAAGTAGATATTTCCCATTTTCTATGATATAAATTTCCCGTTTTCTATGATAATCTAATACGCAAAATTAGGTAATATTTCCCCAAAACTCGATAATCTACTTCCCCAAAAAGTCGATATTTTACTTTTCTGGAAAGTAGATAATCTACTTTTCGGGAAAGTAGATAACCAACTTTCCCAGAAAGTAGATATTTCCCATTTTCTATGATATAAATTTCCCGTTTTTTATGATAAGTAGATAACCAACTTTCCCAGAAAGTAGATATTTCTCATTTTCTGTGATACAAATTTCCCGTTTTCTATGATAATCTACTTCGGAAAATTAGGTAATCTTTCCCAAAAGGTCGACAATCTACTTCCCCGAAAAGTTGATAATGTAATTTCCCGGAAAGTAGATAACCAACTTTCCCAGAAAGTAGATATTTCCCATTTTCTCTGATACAAATTTCCCGTTTTCTATGTTTAGTAGATAACCTACTTTCCCGGAAAGTAGGTATTTCCTATTTTGTCACAAAATTTCAAGAATTTTTACCACCAAAAAACTTTTTGTATTTTGAGATGAAAAGGATATTAAACAAATGCAAATAAATTAATGTTTAATGATGTAACACATTTTTAATAAATATCAATGGATATTTTTTCCAAACATTATAGGGGCTGACTAAACTGATACTGACTTTTGGCTTGCATCCTAATTGTGGAGCACATGTAACGATAAGTATTAGTATTCAGTCAACAGTTCATAAAACTGTCGAGTTACTTTTTGACTTGAGACATAATACGAGGTAATCAAGTTATGTACAATATATATATATATATACACAAAGCACAAAGAAACAATGTTCTTAACTTTGGAAATGGGACTACTATTCCTAATATATGCAAGAAATATGACTAGTCCCAAGAGGTTGAAAGGGGATAAACACTTCTTACACAGGAAAGGTTCCACAACTGCTGCACAGTATTAATATTGTCCATTCTTTGCATCACAGTAAAACCATTGTAAGAAGTCACTGTCTTGATAAATGGCACATTTTAAATTATATCTCACTGAAAGAGCTGCAAAACATATAACAACAACCTTTCTCTGACAACTTCACAAACACATAATTCTTTTAAATAAATTTACCACAAAGCTGAGGATTTGTACATTACTTTTCCATTACTTGTACTATAGTGTAGACCTTAGCTCGGATTGGTTGTGATTGGCTGTGCATTGAGGTTGTTGCTTCTAGAGGGTGCAGATGTAATGCTGCTACTGCTGTTGTTTGTCTTATCAGATGACGATGATGTTACCGATTTAGAGATTTCACCGTTGGCAGCAAGGTTCTTTTCACTTATTGAAAACAGATCAATTAGGTTGTCCAGACCTAGTAGGTATCCATCTTCGTGTGTTCCCTCTGACCAAGGATTTCGGTGGGTTATATGCACATTTTCTGGGAGTGGAATGGTCTTAGCAAAGTCTATCATTCTAACTAAAGCTGAAGTTTCATTGTGGACAAACAACAGAGAGCTGCCTATTAGCTGCAAAAAAAAATCATCAAATTAATACCAGTACCAGATGTAATTAATTTAAAATAACCTCAAATACATTATAAATAAATCAACATCATATGCTAATGCAAAAATCATGTTAAACAATGAAATTTTAGTAACAACAAATGCACATTTCACAAATTTTTAAGTTGGATTTCAGATTAAATACATATTAAAAGATGAATAAAAGCAGGATATTAATATGTACAGGGAAGGATCCTCTATATGTTGTACCAATATACATTACTGACAAATTCTGTTTTTAAAGAAATTTTCATAACAAATGTTTCACACACATATATATATATATATCATCTGCATCATCCACTGTTTATATGTTGTTTCCAAATATGACATATAAAGTGTTAAAAACATCTAATATTAAGGAAAAATAAGCATAATAAGAGTGACCTACAAGTGATAAGCTCCTACCACGCAAAAATACGTCATTGCCTTATGAATAGAGAAAATACTGTACAGGGTATACTGTACAGTAATATAAATATATAAAGGAAAAAATAGGTTGAGGGGATATATTGTGTGTAAGAGAATACCGAGTCTAGAAATCACTTTAACACACTGACACTTGTTAGCTATGAGAAGGCGATGCACATGCCATATTACCCATTACAACATAAGAAACCATAAAGTTATGGAAATATCATATCAATACTATACACAAATGTGGCTTAGAAATAAAGAAAATAAATTATAAAATAAAAACAATTATGAGTACAGTACTGTATATACTGATTTGCTGAAAGCGCTCTCGATGTACACAGCCTGCACTTTCAAGGGGTATTACTGTGCATGTTGGAATGCATATACAGTACCCCTAATTACATTATTTCTTATTTGGATAAGTTTATTATTAAAAAACGTTTTACTGTAAGTTCAATTTCTCTGAAGCACATCCCAGACATACAAAAGGGGACTTGTAACCCACCTGAACCTTATCTTTTCTTATTGTCATATTCTCTTGTAAAATAACTGGTAGCCTTCAAGCAACTGAGAATTTTTATCTTTACCTCAAAACCCATGAACATTTTCTCTCTCTTTTATAGATTAATGGCACTACAAGATTTTTGTTCATGACCCTCAGACATTTTAAACACTAATAACATAAATGGTCATACAATTTTAACACAGTTCTGATAAACAAATTATAATGCTTACCTCATGAGTTTTAAAGAATGGTGATATTTCCAGTGTAGCTTTAATAGATTTCAGTTGCTGGACATAGCGACTCTGAAAAGATTGGCTACATTCATTTACATTTACCAATAAAAAATTATACAAGATATTTACTTGAATCTTTTATGCATGTATCAGAAGTGTAATTAAAAAAACCAGTATCAATTATCTGACAAATTTCTGAACTCATAAAATTGTTTGTTATTTCAATCTTGATGTTCATAAGTAAAATTATGTCATTTACATGAAGTTAACTTTCATATAAACCCTTAAGATACTTTTAATGGTTTATAAGCCCATTAGATATTTTTAATGGTGTTTAAGCCCATTAGATATTTCAAATGTTTAATTGTAACATTAAATATTCTTGGGTTATGAGCCATTACCACTTCAGCATGACCTTGTTATCTTATCTCCAAAGACATCAAATCTTTACACTTTACACACCTGAACTCAAAGTGGGCATTGCTTTAGAGCAGTGGTTGTCAAAACCTTTTTGAGTGCGATTCAATTTTGAATATCAGAAACGTCACAACCCATTGATTCAAATAATAATAATAAAAAACTATCAAATTAAATTTATTGTTGCAATTTAATAGCAAGGTACAACTAGCAAAAAATAGAGTGGTTGAATTGCTCCCAGGGTTTAAATAAAAAACAGGCAAAAGCATAACTTTGTTGGGGCACTGCAATCCACAGAAAATTGGTTCACAACCCATGGTTTGAGAACCACTGCTTTAGAGGGTGGTTCTTAACCTTTGTTGAAATGTACCCCCTATGATCAACCTTAAATTCATGACACCCTCTAATCCCCAAGAACAAATTTTTTCAACAGTTCCAGTTTACTGCTTTTAATGCCTTTTTAGATTAGACAAATAAACAGACAACAAAAATCATGTATTTGTGACCACTTTGACCCTCCCCTGGAAAATTGAAATGCCTCTCGAGTTAAGAACCCGCTTTAGTGGGTACACAGAATAGAAAAGTAAACATAAGAATTTGTAATAACCTGAAACATTAAGAGCCAAGAGAAACACCAAAGAAGAAATAAGGAGAACATACTCTGAATGATAGTATCAGGGTGAGAGAATGTTTGATAAACTACTGGTGGGTTGGCACAGAAGTGCTTCCAGGGAAACATTCCTGACAAAACTAGTAGACTACCTTTGATACCAATAGAATTATTAAAGAATTATGAAAAGACCAACTGATGGGTGTGTCAACAGAATATTTTTATATTCCAGGTAGCTTTCTCATTTAAAAGCTTTTGTTTTGACTTGGTGGCAAGACCACTGTTATGGAGTTTTCTTGAAGAAAATTATGGCATTAAGCAATACAGTATTACCCGCTTTACACGGTTTCACTTTCACTTTCCGCGATTTCTCATTTACGCGGTACCTTGCCAGAACCGGACTTTCACTTTCCGTGGTGCATCTACTCATATAGTACTATAATTTTTTTATTTAGCTCATAAAATTCATAAAAATTACCCGGCCACAATATAATTTACATTGCTGGAATTCTTACAATATGATAATCATTTTGAATATAAACATCATGGATTTTGCATTAGACATACAAATTTTAGATCTAATGTAATAATTTGGTTTACCGTATATCACGGCCTATAAGACGAAATTTGAACATTAAAAAAATCTGCCCAAAGTTAGGGGGTCGTCTAAACCACCAAGTTTAAAATTCTTACCTCTTAAATATTGTGGTTTAGTGTGTCAAGAGTGGTGATGAAAACATCGTAAGCCACTCACAAGGTCTTACCACTAATTATTTTATACTGAAACTTACGTTTGGCAAGCTGGATTCAAATTAAGATTACCGGTATATTAAAATAATAAAAATGTATTATAAACCTGTCTAACATACCGTAAAAGAGATTTATACCCCTGTAATAAACACAGCTATCATCACACACCCCTCCCCACGCCCCCCCCATTTGCCAGTGAGGAGACAAGAAAGGGAAAGTGACCCGAGATTGGGCTATTTTTAGCCGTGGAGGTGGTCAGTAATGCATACCGGTATCGGTATATTTACTCATAATAATATTTATCTCCTATAAATAATTGATTTAAATTTTATTTTTTTACAAAGAATATTCAGTAAATGAGTGCATTAATTCTTGAAACTATCGACGGTTAATTACAGACGCTCAAGTGACGTCACTAGTGTTTACACTACACCAGCTGGTAATATTTGATGCCATTACTTGAAGTGAATTGGCCTTATTTTAAGTAACTAACTTTATAGTTACAAAAATTAAAAAAAAAGATCAAAACTGAGAAACAATATACATTATGTATGTTGTGTTGTCAAAGTAAGAGAAACAATTGAGACCCAGCAATTGTGTAAATGAGGCAGAAAGTCAGGTCAGCAACCTGGGACTTGGTCACAATTTTCGTGATGCCATATGGCAGCAGGGTCTACCATTAGACAACACATTATGCTTCCAATATCTTCCCAGGCAGTAGTACCTCCCTGTTTGGTAGCTGCCTACTACCTACACAATTTCTAGTAATATTAATTTGATACATGATAAATTAGACAAACTGAAAATAAACATCAAATTTAATTACCAACACGCTTCCCATTGGCAGCTGTAAGAGGGGGAGATGGGCTATTTTTATCCCGTCTTTGTGTCTGAAGTGGCCAGTAATACCATATATTTATTGATCATAATACGTTTCTCCTATAAATAATTAATTTAACATTTATTTTTTTACATAGAATATTCAATAAATGACTTTTAATTCTTTTAACTACCGACAGTGGTAAATTTAGCATGACAATGATGAAGAAGAAGGCAGGTCATCTGATTCGGAGTTTGATTCTTAATGATTACCATATATGTGTAAGGTGACCACGTCAGGTCATGTGTAAGGTGACCCCTTCTCTCATTTGCCTTGTCCAGTTGTTGAGTTATCACTCCATAAGCAATAGCACTCTCTCCGTGTGAACACTACGGTATATTAATACTGTATCCAGCTACCACAAAACCTCACCATGGCTCCAATTGTTAAACGCAGGAGATATGAAGCTTGTTTTAAGCTGAAAGTGATAGCATATGCCCAGTCACACAACAATTGTGCTGCTTCAAGAGAATACGGTGTAACTGAGAAGATGGTGCGGGATTGGAGATCAAAGGAACACTTACTACGAAGTATGCCCAGGAATAAATGTGCAATGAGAAGAGGCACTGCACACTGGCCGATTCTAGAGAAGCACGCAGTAGACATGGTCCATGAGCAGCGTCAAAATGGGTATATTGTATCAAGAAACATGATACGTATGTGGGCACTTAAGTGGGCTAAACAAAATCAAGAGCACAGCAAAGACTTCAAAGCCACGACTTCATGGTGTAGCCGTTTTATGGAAAGAAGCAATCTGGTACTGAGGCAGAAGACAAAAATAGCACAAAAATTACCAGCAGATCTTAACTGTAAAATTGTTAATTTCCATCGCTACATAATACAACAACGTAAGAAACATTGTTATCCATTAAGCAACATCGGAAACATGGATGAAACACCTATGAACTTCGACATGGTCGGTAATCATACTGTCGATACAAAGGGTGCAAAAACAGTGTTAGTGAAAACAACAGGACACGAAAAGACACGGTTTACAGTAGTACTTTCATGCATGGCAGACGGAACCAAGTTGAACCCAATGCTAATTCTCAAGAGGAAAACAATGCCCAAAATCAAGTTCCCGGCTGGAGTTTTTGTTCACGTCAACGAGAAAGGGTGGATGGACGAACAAGGAATAAAGTTATGGATTGATCATATATGGTGTAGGCGACCTGGTGGCTTTCGAAAACAGCGTAGCCTGTTAGTATGGGATATGTTCGCGAGTCATTTAACAGAGGGAACAAAAACCAACATGGCGAGGAACAACAGTGACATTGCAGTTATTCCTGGTGGATTAACTTCAGTTTTACAACCACTTGATGTTTGTCTAAACAAACCATTCAAGGACCGCGTTCGTGAACAATGGAACAAATGGATGAACAGCGGCAAAAAGTCTTACACGAAAGGTGGGAATATGCGTGCTCCCGAACTGGATGTACTATGTGATTTTGTTATCAAGGCATGGAATGATATTAATGTGGAGACAGTTATCAAGTCTTTTAAAAAGTGCGGAATATCTAATTCAATGGATGGCATGGAGGATGACATGTTGTGGGAGGACGAGGATGAAACAGAAGCCGAAGCCACGTCATCTGATTTGGAATTTGATCCTTATGATGAAGCAGCCATAAATGTATCTCAGGATGTACTTGAAGAACTTATGATGTCAGATGTTGATGATGTGGATTTTGAAGGTTTTTAATACATGATGACGTCAGTAATAATCATGTGCTAATAACATTTTTAACTTGACGGTAATTTGCTTTTAAAATATTGTGACTTAGTAAATTAAATGTGTGCATGTGTATGTATGTATACATACAGTATATATAAATATGTTTGTGTAATAAATGTATGTAGTAAGTACGTAATATTTTTTCACTCAAATCCTAATGAAACACTACTGGAGAACATTCCTTTGTCGCAAAACAGTTTATAAATTAAAGAAAATAATTACAGTGTGTTTAATATATTACAGTATATTATAAATAAATAAATAAAACAAATAATTCGGTAAATCTATTTAAAGTAAATGGAAAATAAGCAAACATGTTATTTACCAAGACGCTTCCGTCTGGCTCAGGGTGAGATGGAGGGGAGATAACAAGCTATTTATAGCCCATTTGAAGTGACCAGTACCCTAATGCACCATAAATAATTCATTGAACAATCATTTTTTGTATATATATATATATATATATATATATATATATATATATATATATATATATATATATATATATATATATATATATATATATATATATATATATATATATATATATATATATATATATATATATATATATATATATATATATATATATATATATATATATATTTGTGTAATAAATGTATGTAGTAAGTACATACTGGTAACCTTTTTCACTCAAATCCTAATGAAACACCACAATTAGAATACGGTGGTTGCTGTTGAACTACATGTTGTATAAATAGTCGGAACACAGCCACACCACCGAGACGAGGGAACACTCCCACCACCAATCGTCTCGTGTGAAGCAAGCGTATAAATGAAAGAAAATACTTGCAGTGTGTTTAATATGTTACAGTATATTATAAATAAATAAATAAGTAAACAAATAAATCGGTAAATCCATTTCAAGTAAATGGAAAAATTTTACTCGATACCGACATTAGTTCCAGTTATCGGTAAATAGCAGACGCTTCAGTGACGTCACTAGTGTTTACACTACACCAGCGGGTATAATTTGATGACATTACTTGAAGTGAATTGGCCTTATTTTAAAAAATCAAGGATGGTTGGTAAAGGACTACTGAGTCCGTGGTTAAGTGTCACATTTGGGGTACTGGTCTTATACAGCAAATAGAGCTCAAAAGCTACTTTTTAAATGGAAATTTGGGGGGGGCGTCTTATGCACCCCGCCGCCTTATAGGCCGTGATATACGGTACACAAAGCAAATATTTTATCTTTTGTGCAAAATATATGAAGTTTACATTCAAAATATTCCCTGACCTGCAAGGAATCCAGAAATGTCAATTATATTATCCTAACTTTAGTCTGAGGTATTATTTATTACTAAACGTTAAAATCTAGTGTTTTCACCCAAACATTTCTCAGAGAGGTAGGAGCTAGTGAGCTGGGAAGAAGGGGGGGGGGGGATTTGAGTCCATTATTTGAATGGACATTAACCTGGCGACTGTATTTCTCTTAAACATTAAATGAGTGCATACCATCATAAAATTAAGATGTTATTTTTACTACAACATAGGTATTGTGTCGGAAAAAGTGGAGTTTGGGGGTCGGTACCCTGTGGGTTCAATTGACTGCGTAAATCGGAGTACTACTGTGTATCTGTTTATGTACTGTACTGTTAAAATGGAGTATAAAAATAAAAACTTGCTTGAGATCACCACCACAGTGAAATGTTATAAGGAAGTACACTTATTCATTACTTATATGATTGTATTTACAGAAAAACAATTTAAAGTAGATAGAAATCATGAAAATAATGACATCATGATGTATGCATCTGATATACATAGGACATTGGACTGACAGTAGAGAAGATCTAGAAGAATCACAACTTCGATGGAATGCCTGCCTCAAACAAATAGGAATGAGGATCCCTAGAAGTGATGGTAATCAGAATATTGAAATTGATGGAACACAAGTTGAAAATGTAAAAAAAAAAATACTGTAAGTAAAAAGAGTGAAATCAAAATTGAAATAAAATAAAATAAGCAAATACAGTGGTCCCTCCGTTAACAAACAATTTGTTCCACAGAATCGTTCGTTAACCGAATCTATTATTTCAACACACAGAAAAGTACATACAAAGTATAAACAAAATGCAGTACAGTGAGTTCTGCTATAACGTGTGTTTTGTCAACGCGAATTGGCTCTAACGCGATTTATTAATAGAGGAACGATATTTGTATAACGAGAACACTTGTTTGCTGTAATGTGATTTTTGCTTACTATTTCTCCAATTTTGTGGTATTAACTGTGAATATGGTAAAGAAGAATATCTCCAAGAAGCGTTCTGGTGATCGCATTCCCGGCGATGATCGTAAAAGAAAGGCTATAACCCTTGAAGAGAAGCTCGATGTTATCAACCTCAAAATCACCCTTCTCCCCCATCAAGTTATTTTCATATTTTTTCAAGGTAAAGTGTTACATTTACTGTATGATTTCATTATTAGATATGAATGTAACATTTATTTAGACTGTGCTATCCTTTGTGTTAGGCTAACTACTAAATTTTTTTCGATTTCGAGTAGTAATCTGCACCTAACCCTATTTTCTCCATAAGCCCTGTTATTTCTATTACGCGAATTTCTATAACACGATATTTTACAAGAACACAACTATCGCGTTATAGCAGAACTGACTGTACAGTACACTTACTTTGAGGTGTGTATGTAGAAGGTTCCTGGTTGATGATGATGATGAGAATTAGAAGTGGGGGGTGGAGGAGGAGAAGAGAAGGAAGTGGGGGTGGAGGAGAAGGGAGAAGAGAAGCATTTTACTGCTTCTTGGAAGGCAAGTCACCTTCCATAATAATTTCAGGAACCTCTGGACTGACAGATTCTCTAACATGAAAATCCTCTCTCCTTTTTGGAGAGGAACACTGAGGAGAATCATCTTTCTCACCCATGCCTGATGCAGTAATTTCACCAATAAAATTTTAAGTTCACTAGCTGTAATTAAAGATTATTTTATTTAAATCAATACTGTACTGCACTGCGCTATATATATTATCAATATGTTAACTAAATTTCAGAATGACCAATAATTTTAAAGTAAAAACGTAAAAATACTCTGTATTCAAGAGACCAACAAACACGATGTTTCCTCCACTGTAAACAAAGTTAAAGAGACGCTTTGGCGGTTGAGTCAAGCGGCTGATGGGCGCACAAAAAACTAGTTCCCTGTACTGCATATATTATCAATATGTTAACTAAATTTTAAAATGACTAATAATTTTAATATAAAAAATGCAAAAATATTTCTTGATATTTACTCCACGGGAAACGAGTGTAAACATAGAACCGATTACTGTATTGGCGGACTAGCCGATCAGCTGATGCGCACAACAAAACGTGTTTGTCGTAAGAATTTCGTTAATCAAAGTTTTGTTTGTTAATTGAACTGAAAATCCTTTTGGGAGCTAATTCGTTAACCAAAATTTTGTTAATCGAACCGTTCATTAACTGAGGGACCACTGTATACCAAGAATGCATGTGTAATAAATACACTGTTTAGAGATCAACATGTGCCTCTGAAAGCAAAGAAAACTACATGTATATTGCAAAAAAATTACAAAATCTGAAATGAAAGTATGAGCGAAAAAAGTTCAAAGAAAAAACTAAACTCTACCAATTGAAGATACTTAGAAAGGGTGGGCAAGGTGAGGTGGAAACCAGTGGGAAGACCTAGAAAAACATGGAAAAATGGAGTGAAAGAACTCGATCAGGAGTTTTTCAAGCTCAACAAAGTGGCAAAGAAGACTGATCTCACTGATAATCTGTCAGTGTAAGTGAACAAGGTGGATAATAAACACCATGACAATTCTTTTTTGACCATTGTCACTGGGGTAAAAATTGTCTATTTTTGGAGAGAAAGAGATGAGTGAATTTCTGAGGCTAATATTTATGAATGAAATCTCAATATCTTGCTTAAAATAAAAGTGAAAGAAGGAAGTTTTGCAGATACTGTAGTAATATGGAATGTGTCTTAAGTTGATCAGTAATTCCAAAGTATTAATTAGTACCCAGTATTTACAATAAAATGTAACTTACGGCAACATGAGAATAGCCTTGCAAGAAGCTATTGAGAGATGCAAGAACTTGTTCTCTTGTTCGTGTTGTCTTAAAATCTTTACTGGAAGTTCCATCACCTCTTCTAACGCCCTCTATTCTGAATCCTTGGGTAGCTGTAGAAGATATGGTTTCCCGCCATACCATGTACCTGCAATAAGACAAATATACTGTAAGCTGAGAAGTGCAGCAACCAAGTACACAGAGCCTGCCTGTCAAAAGTCTAAAGGGTTATTAGTTTACAGCAGTGCCTCCTTGTGTACCAGAAATAGGCCCAGTGCTGTATTCCCCCTGGCCATCAGGCCTGTGGTACCCACTTCAGTATAATAATACAGAGCACATACATCTACCTCTATGGAAAAAAATAATTCAGAAAGGGATCCATCCAAGTCTTTCAAGGAAACCTACATAAGGAATCCCAACACCCAAATGAGAGAAAACATTTCACCACATCAAACTGACTGGTTGTTGAGCTATGCTGGTCACAGTAAACAAATATATGTTGACAGACAGACACAGAAAGATAAATAGGGGGTTTAGTGCTCCTAAATTTATGTAGAACCTTCCCTAAAAATACTGAATTACTGCAATATACATAGTACTGTATATACCTTGACTTGATCTTGGAACAAACTTTTTTTTTTTTAATTCAGACAAATCATACTCTTCATTATATTCTCAAAGCATAAAAGACAGTTTAATATGTCACAAATCATTAACCGTACAGTACTAGAATTTTAAAAGTAAGTGAAAAAGAGCACTCCATTATTTGAGTTCCAGTATTCTAACATTTTCAACTGCTTCGATTTTAAACAGCACAGTACCAAAAATGACCAAATACTGTACAGGTACAGTATTCCTAGTTTATCATACATCCACACAACACGATTACATTTTTACATGATTCACCAATTAGGTAACAAACATATCCTAGACAGTTTCTTTGAATCCCCACTACAGTTCTCAGTTCTGACCCAGTCACCCTTCACTCCACAAGCACATTGAATCACTAAACTTTGCTGTTCTTTTATGATTTACCAGTGACACCCTTACAATTATGAGAACAAACTAAGTGACTTATGAAAGCCAAGTAAGTATTAAGTGACAGGAGTGACCACAAGGCAAAGGAAACAGCTTTTAACAAAATCTAACACCTCAGCAATAGCAGAGCTGCTCAGTCTCAGGTTAATAACAGAAAATACATAGGAAACTTGCATCTGTAGTCAAGGGGTTAAGTTTTTTTTTTTTAGAGGACAGTTCCTCCCCGACTTACGATGGGGTTAGGGACCCAAATCCAGGTCGTAAGTCGAAAATGCTTAAATAATACATAGAAAATCTAAAATGGGTGTCTCTTTTTCTTCTCAACACCACAAAACTCACTTTTCAGCTTGCCAGCCATTTTAAAGTGAATTACAAACGAAAATTTTGTCTGTGTACTGACGTTGGGACTCAAAAATATGTAATTTGACAAAAATTTGGTACAACTGAGGCAGGTTGTAAGTGCGGGTAGTCGTAAGTCGAGTAGGTTGTAAGTCGGGGAGGAGCTGTATGTGTACAACCACGTTTTCTTCAATTTGTTATAAAGAAGTAAAATAAACATTCAACTGAGTCTGTGAGTGTGTGTGAAAGCAAAACTTGTAGCCAGGGAAGGAAATATCCAGTTTTCAAGAAACTACAATATTGGGAGTCTGTACTGTACAGTATTTGTACTGGGTGTGTGACTCAAACATGCAGTACTGTACTGTACTGTAATATAAAGAAACTTTCAGATACAGTAGTTGGAGGCCTATGATTCTTTGTTAAAGAATACCTCCATAAACTAAATTGCTTAAAATAAATAAAAGAAATTCATGCACACTCAATCACCTAGGTTTTGTGACTGCTTTTGCTCTAAGCTCTGCTTCAGTGGGTGCTTTTGGGTCAATTTGTATCATCTTCTCAAACATGTCCTGTAGGAGAGAAAGTTAATATTACAAATGAAATATAAGTACTGTACTGACAGTACATAAAAACTTTAATTCCAAAGATGATATTTGTGTTATTGGTTTAGAAAAAGTTTATTATACATACTTCATTAATTATAAATAACAATACCGTACATGTATAAACACAACTTGCCTTTCTTAGTTTTGGTTTTTCTCTTGCTTTTGCCAGCTCATCTTCTAGATATGTTCGGACACCCATCTTAATGTCCATTACACATGGAAGATTAAAATTACTTAATAAGTCTTCAAGCTGGAGATATTTCTCTCCATCTGCTCCCTCCACCTATTGGGAATAAAACACGGTCATTTAAGTTCTAAAGAGAAATACAGTACTGTACAATATGGTATACACAAAAAAATATGAAACAAAGTACAGTACAGTATCAAGAACTCCTTTTACAAGTTAAAGTAGCATAAAAATGCCAATATGAAGGACCAGTTGGTTCTCTAGCAGGGGCAAAACAAGGAGACTATAACCCCCTTCCCCTCTGTTCTAACGTCAAGATTACAAGCCAAGACAATGTAGCAGAAATTCACACTGCCTTCTTTTCCAACACTCGGTATCTTTTAATCACTTTCTACAATTTCTTTACTGTTACTTCTTTCCTCCCCTTTTATAGCTTTATTTTATATTTCCAACAAATTCATGACAAAACTTTCTTCCCAATTCCTTATTCCAAGAGTCTCTCACTCTTTTTACATTTTTATTCTGCTTCTTCCTAAACACTGCCACTTTTACTTCAATGCTCCACCTTGCACCTCCCTTATTTTATTTCTTAAAAAGTTTTTCCCACAAATACACTTTACTGCCTCATTTTAACCTGCTAAGTATTGAGGTAGTCAGCTCAAATACAAAGACTTATCTTCTTGATTTTAAGGATTTTATGCATCAAAGTAAAGTACAACATTAAATGGAATCAAGAAACAAAAGCGTTTAAGCATTTTCATACAGTACCTGTATTACAATATGATCGTCAATTTTACTGGAGCAATATGAGACTTGTACAAACTTACCACGCCTGTGTAACATGGAACATAGGGCCGTAAAATATCAGCAGAGATGGATTCTAAAGCCTTTTCCTCTACAGGACACAACTTCTTCAAGATTGTTCCTTGTTTATATCCTGCACGGAAATTACCTGCAAGTAAATCATATTGTCACACCTCTGATATGAACACAATGCACATAGCCATTACCTAAATGCCTTCATAATTTAACTAACCTATGGTGTAAATTTTGATGTTTTCAGAAAAGCTAAAGAGATTAGACAAATGACAACAGATTTATTACCAAAGTCATCTCAAAATTCCCAGTACAGTATACATTAAAGGCACAGTACAGTACAATAATCCTTCCATCAGCTGAAATCTTCAATCCCTGGAACTCTCAATTAGTTGGAATTTTTTCGAGCATTCTGAAAAATTCCTGGAAAAATCTTTCTGTTCAGGGCACGTGAACACATTTCCAAAAGAATGCATCATGTTTCCGATGCTGGGCGCAAGAATGGGTATGTTCAGAGTGTTCGTGAGGTACGATTGGCTATTACTTTCATGTCTCTGCATGGGCTGTCTATGATTGACTGATATATCTTGCAGCCTATCTCCTCAAACTCAACCATTGCAACACTCTTAGTTCATTGTCTGCTGCCACTGTATTAGCTTGTTCGCTCGCTCACTGCTAATTTTGCAGACAATATGTGTTGTGCAGTACTGCATATTACTGTACCAGTATATAAACAGCCAGGAATACTGTTACAGCAGTTGTTAAGATATAAAAAGTGATTACTGTACTGTACTGGACTGTGTATGCTAGTGTAGAGGATGTACAGTATATACAGTATACAGTGTGTGTACAATCCCTCTTTCATGGAGGGAGAGGAGAGTGACAGTTAACAACACCTGCTACAGTAGATGGTACAGGACAAGGGCAGGACATCCTATATCAATACATCAGCATTTGACCAGCCTGCATTACAAGCTCAAGTTGGCAGCATCTGCTGGCAAGTACAGTATAGTTTATACAGTACACTTATCCCCCCATATTCGCGAGGGATAAGTTATCGGAAATCATTGAGAATTCACAAATACTGTAGTACTGAATTGAATACCTTATGGAAAAATGGCATGATAGTTGCAGAAAAGTGGTACAGTAACCCATGTCTCCAACGTCGCAGTAGTAGTAGCACAGTGTCACTATTTATGAATGAATGGGTATCGGTCATGTAGCGACAGATGTGATTGATGGATAGGTTTGCTGTAGGTTATATAGGTTGGTTATTTGGAGACAGGTTACCAGAGGGGGTGTAGGAACACAACTGTACCATGGCTACCAAGATTATTATTTTTGTAATATTTTGGGTTAGAAGTGATAAATGTTTCAGAGATGGGATAAGTTTTTGTAATAATTACAGTATGTAAATAACCACAGTACAGGTGCTTCTCTACTTAAGAACGTTCAGCTTACAAACTTTCAGAGATATAAACATCATCAGTGAGGGGGTTACCTGCCAGAACAGGAGTTTAATGTGGATGAGACTGGATTATTTTGAAGAAAATTCCAGATAGAACAAACATTACCTTAGCGGAGTAGAGTGAGCAAGGTTTTAAGGCTGTATTAAAGGGTATAGCTGTAGTGTACTAAATATCCATAATCTTTTAATTTTTTACAAAATGTTTGGTATCTACAAGAGTAAAGTTGGACTTACAAACAAGCCTCAGGAACATAACTCGTTCATAAGTAGAGGAGCACCTGTAACTTATATTACTTAGGATATTAAAGTCTAACCTAGTAAAAGTGTTTTCTCTAATACAGAGCAAAAGATTAAAAATTACAATACAGTGCAAAACTGTACTCTAATGTGGCTTATAGATAAAGAAAATATAACATAAAACTATAAAATAAAACAAATGTAGAGCATGGGTGTGTATGTTAGGAGGCAGTAGTAAGTTATGACTGCGCTAACCCCCCCCCCGGTGTGATGTCACAGCATACACACACACACATCTTGGAGTCAGCTGGTTGAATGCCCAGCTGAACAGTGTGGCGTCACCCAGAGGATGTTTTTTGAGTGTGGAAGGAGCTATTTTTGTACATAAAATATGTACTAATGTATTTTTTAATATGCTAGTATCAATTTTATTGTTTATCAAATAAATTTTGTAAACATAGCAGTTACAGCACCACTAGGTGACAGACACACTAATGAATGACTTCGGTTGCAATTAGATTGTTGGACTACCAGGTAAATTAGAATTTTTACTGAATGGGACCAAAGGAAATAAAGTTCAGATACCTGGAAGATTCAGATAAGAGGAATTGCACTGTAAATAAAATAAAATCTACAACATTGGACTTCCTGTAAAAGTGGAGACATCCTGCACACAGTGTGTGTTGTGTTGGGTGTTACTGGGTGGAGTGAGAGGGGGAGGATGGTGTGGTACACATGAGAGAAATGACTAACTGCAGAATGTGTGCAGGAGATGCATTAGTGGATCGCTAGATTTACGCTCACTACTGCGCATCTGCCAACATTTGGTCACAAAATTTCCAACAGCCTCGCAGATGGCTGAATTTTGATTGCAAATCTTAAAAAATAAGTGCTATTAATAATTTTACCTGAATAAATTAATTCGCAAATATGGAGTTCACATATACTGTATGGAGAAATAAGTATAGCATACTTTTGTTTATTTAAAATATACTGTATTGAACATTGGTGTTTCCATTAACAAATACAGCTCTGTGTCTGTCTGTGTGACATGTATACTGTAGTTTTGACTCTCGGAAAACTTTCCCAGTATGCTACAGTATTCGGAAACATTCCAGGGATGAGGAAATTTGTCTCTATACCCGGAACTGATCTGCTGGAAGATTATGAAAAGTGGTACCATACAGTAACTATTTTCATTCATTTATCCTCATTAAGATAATATCAGAGCAGGACAAAGGTCCTGGTATCAATCAGGTTCAGCAGTCTTAGGAATGCAATACAGTACTTTACTTTTACCAACACAGTATTTCTCCTGACCCCAGATACATACTGCAGTCAAGGGAAGGGAACCAGATTTGACTTCCCATGAGATTTCACAAATGAGAACAAAAAAGATGTGATATGAAATGGATTAATTTGGTTTAGTTAGGAGTGATCAGTATTACAAAAAGCCTCATCACCATCAGAAAAAAGGCCCTTATTAATAAAACCATTCCTTTTGATTTTATTTAATATTTTAATTCAATGATGGTACAATCAAACTACAGTACCTGTATTTCTACAAATGTTGCAAAAATTTCTTTAGGGCATAAACAGTGTGAAGACAGTGAGTGCTAGTGCCCAAAGTAGGTGACTAATACTGACCTTGATGTCCAGCCAGTTGTACCCAGGGATATTTGTGTTTCTTGTACGTCTGGATGAAGGGTGTCCACTGAACGATGTTTCGCACCTTACGCCAGTTGGACGGCTGAAATGTAAAACTTGAGGTCATTATCACTCATCAAAACTTCTTATGGGTCATTCATTAAATTGGATTAAGAATTCTATAAATTTTACCTTATAATTTCTAACAAACTGTTTTGATACCACTATTGAACATAAAAAAATTCTACAGTATATACAGTATAAAACACATCTATCACATACAGTATAAATATAGGTGCTCCCCTACTAATGAACATTCGACTTACGAACTTTCGGAGATACAAACATCATCATTGAGGGAGGTTACCTACCAGCAGGTGTTTAATGTGGATGAGACTAGATTATACTGAAGAAAATTCTAGATAAAACATACATTACCTAAGAGGAGAAGTGTGAGCCAGGTTTTAAGGCTGTATTGTACGGTATAGCTGTACTAAACATCCAATTTCTTTTTTTACAATATGTTCGGTATCTACAAGAGTAAAGTTGGACTTACAAACAATTGGATGTATGAGCAAGCTTCAGGAATGTAACTCATTCGTAAGTATGTAGTTGGTAGTAGGCAGCTACCAAACAGGGAGGTACTACCGCGTGGGAAGATATTGGAAGCATAATGTATGCCTAATGGTAGACCCTGCAGCCAGCCATATGGCATCAAAAAAATTGTGTCCAAGTCCCAGGTTGCTGATCTGACTTTCAGCCTCATTTACACACAATTGTAGGGTTTCAATTGTTTCTCTTACCAATGACAACACAACATACATACTGTATACTGTATTGTTTCTCACTCTTGATTTTTTTTTTATTTCTTTATGGTTCTTTATTATTAATATTATTATAATTGCAGTGTTGTTATTATTATTATTATTATTATTTCATTATTTTTTTTATTTTTTTTTTAATTTTACTTACCTGAATTATTATTATTATTATTATTATCATTATTATTATTACGTTTTCGCCCCCCAGGCCCTGATGTGGGTCAGTGACCTGTGCCCTGGTGAGGTATATAAAAAAAAAAAAAGTAGAGGGGCACCTGTACATTACCCCTTTGCAATGTTAGCTAAAAAGTTCTTAAAAAAATCTGGTGTTTACTCAGCTGAGCTGAATCATGAACCACTCTGCAGCAACAGTACAGCATATCCTGCAATTTGTGAATCCATCCAAGCAACAAGACTTTACCACAGTACAGTATATACTGTACTGTACTGTACTGTACTGTACTGTACTGTTAAGACGAAGAGTGAGGAGAGATATGATAGAAGTATTCAAGTGGGTGAAAGGAATCAATAAAGGTGATATAGATAAAGTTCTTATAATACCCGAGCAGGATAGGACTCGGAACAACGGATTCAAGTTGGATAAGTTTAGGTTTAGGAGGGAGATAGGAAGGAACTGGTTTACAAATAGGGTGGTGGACGAGTGGAACAAGCTTAGCAACTTTGTAGTAAGTGCTGGAACGCTGGAAAGTTCAAAGGGAGGCTGGATAGATTCATGGACGATAGAGAGTGGTAGTAACTCTCGACAGGAGCTGTCATGCACAGACCAACCGGCCTATTGCAGACTCCTTATGTTCTTATACAGTACTGTATATACTGTACTGTACAGTATTTTGAATATTCCACTCGTAAGGCCAATATTTCTTAAACATTTCAATTTAAACAAAAGTAAATTGTAGTGTAGGCTCCAAGTACTGGATGTGTAGACTGTGTTAGTGCAGGTTGTGTGCAGCCTGCAATGGTCTGTCCTTCCCTTACCCCTCAGCCACATGTTCCACACACATCTATTAACAGCTGTGTAGATGTAGACCTTCCCCACCTTCAAGAGCAATTTTAAAATGTAACAACACCTGTTTCACAACTCTTAAGAAGTTAGCATGTGAATATTGTACACTGTACTGTACAGTATGTATTACAACTCCAATAGCCAGTCATAAATTACCAGCAGTCCCCCACTTAAAATGTTACCAGCCAGTTTTGAAATGCATACAGGCCAGCAAAACACATACTGCACTTTGCAATTTTGTGAGAATTTCCAGGTGTGGAAAGATCCCTCCAATGTGGGAGCAGTTGAGATAACCAATGAGTAGGCAGAAGTTTAGCTACCACTTGTAAAAAGAAATAAGTATAGCATCGTAGACCAATCACAGGTCATTTGTAGACCTGATGTGAGCAGAGAGTGAGATTTTGAGACCAGAGTGTCTGGGGATCTGTACAAGAGGCTTACAATTAGAAGGTCCCCTACCACCCCCATCCTCTGTCAGTTAGGAATACTTTCGTGTGATGAGTTGTGATAATATTCAGTACAGTATGTTTAATTTTTGTTTCAAATATTAATAATATGTTCTTGCCCTAATCATGTTTAGTTATCTCCTTTTTTCTTTGCGAAACTGAATTTGAAAAATAAAATATAAATAAATAAAAATAACGAATAAAATGAAGCTTGACAACTTCAGAAAGAACTTTGGCTAATATTCTGCAAACACCAGCAAATGAACCTAAATCACATGCTACAGCTTGTGGAATACAGTACAATAATTACAGAACCCAAAAGATAAGTATAATGGCCAGATTAGGTTAGTTTTAATTTTAATCAAAAATTTTTCCCTCTTCTTCATAGTCCTGGTGGGGTACCAAACTATTCACATACAATTTTACTTCCATTAGTGACGACAGTGATCATACTGCACTGTATTCTAAATGCTCATCATTGGACACGTGTTATTAGCGGCCACCTCTCGCCTTCACTCTCCACCTTTTCCAACACTGCTGTCTCCCTCTCTCACACCCCACCACTGAGTCACTGATGTAAATTCATATTTGCTTCATTTTCTGTTTATTTGGTGAGATTCCAGAAAAAACTAATGAAAAATTTATACAAAATCCTACTGTAACAAAAGGATGATAAAATGCATAAGTAGAGATAACGAAAATAACTGCAATAATTTTTTTTACATGGGACAAATTTTCAATCCAGCAATCTTTTGGTACAGGTTACCTAACAGTGGCAAGGAGGGTGAAATATAACTTAGGTACAGTAGCTAAAAAAGAAAGGATCTGACAGGGTGGGTCCGATGACTTCCGAAATTATCGTACAACTTGTGATGTCTCGGGAGGGTTGGTATGAGTGTCATCACCCACTACCACTCGGTATCCAACACAGAGGACGAGTTGACATATAGGAATAAAATAAACGTTTAAGTGATTATCATCACAGAGTATAAGGAAACAACACGCATATCCCAATACATGTACAGCAACCCAAAAAAGTCCTGTTGCGAACCACGATTCAGACTCGTGAACCCGAAGCAGTAGACACTGATACATTATTCTGTCCATAAATGCTTCGGATTCAAGACTCTGAATCTCGGGGTTCATGGTTCGCGACAGGACTTTTTTGGGTGACTGTACCTATCGTCCGTGGTTTCATATTGTTTCACACAGAGTACCGTATGCACAAATACTTTTTTTAGCTACTGTACATTACAGTTTTCTTGAAAGCCATTTTTAGAATGAATAAATGTACAGTATAGTGAATAACATAACATATGGGAAAAAAGGGGTTCAGTTCCCCACCGAGAAAAAAAAAGTGTGCAGTGATATCTCTGTTAGCCGGAACAATTGGTGCAAAGCTCTTTAGGCGTATATTTTTTTATATTTTAAACTTACGGACTCGCATCCTTAATCAGCATGTAAAGTAATACCTTTGTATGAAATTTGAACAAAATCCAAGAGCTAAAAACCAAGGTATTATGTAAGGTACATTTTTGATATCAAATGACATTTAAAAAATTAAAGAATTAAAGTGGAAACTAATGTGTTTATATTGTAAAGATAGTCTTTATTTGTATTTTTTAATATATGTTAAAGTGATTTAAAAATGCATAATTGACTTTGTAAATACTGTACAGTACTTTAAATATGTTAATTTCACTTCAATAATTACTAATTTCTTTTAATTGTGAAAACGCATCTTTAATCAGCCTGTAGAGTACTACCTTTGTATAAAATTTAAACAAAATTCATTTTATGACCCCAAGTGCCGAAAACCAAGTATGATTTTTGAAAGAAAAAACGATCTTTTTAGAGTAAAAGGAAACGTGATTTTATAGTACAGATAGTCTACATTCTTTAATACAGTGTATATAAAAGTGATTTAAAACATACTGGGGCAGCAGGGCTGGTAAAAACCGCTGGTTAAAAAAATAAAAAAATAAATAAAAAAATAAAACCCATGAAACATTTTGTTAATGCTATAGTTTGTTTTATTAAGTTATAAGTATTAAGCCCTTTAAATAACTTTTTAATGCGCTAATAACCACAAACATTACATTCAGGATGATTTAGCAATCATTTATACTCTTTTCCATCTCAAGAAGAAATCACTAAAAAGACTAAATTTGAAAAAACACAAGCACTGGTCTGTCACTCAGACTCATCCTACATGCTTAAAGGCAAAAACTAAGTTTATCTTAATGCATGGAAAATACTATTCTTATTTTACAGTTGAAAGTTTTAAAGAATTAACTTACGGTAATTACAGTTAGAGAGAGAGAGAGAGAGATGGCCAGTGGCAACCTGGCTCCCCAGGACTTGTATAATACATGATGGCTCAGAACCAGTCACCAGTTATACTGAGCAGTGACAATTTGGCTCCCTTACAATCGGGATTTGAGCTGTGTGCAGCCCTGTAAGAAAGTTTATTATCACCACTTTCACCAGTGTATCTATGTCTATACTGAAAAACCAAAGAGACATAACGCATCCCTGTCTAACACCCACATTTATTTAAAATACTTCAATTTTTTCCCTGATGTTCTCTTACTGCATTTAAAAGCCTTCCTCCCACCCAATACACTTGTAATGCCCCCCACCCTATCAGATGCCTTCCCAAATCTACTATAAATCATTAAAACCATCTATAATATACAATGACCTGCCCTGTCCACTTTAGAAAAATGCACTATCGTTACTAATGTTCATCAAATAAGTATTAGGTTTACAGATTTATTTATTCAGACCTTGACCCAAGACAACACTGGAA